AGAATCTGGAAACAGGGAACTGAGTTTTCAAAGCTCTGTAAGCTTTAACTTGGCCAGAGTGGGGAACTGCTGAGCTGGTTAAGTGAGGCTTGCCTCTGTAGCCCCTGTAAGAACTGTTGGGGGGGCGGGCAAGGGGATCCCTTCCTGGGCCCTCCTGCTCTTTCAGTGGCTGTGGGCTGCAGAACTTTTGTCTTCTCTCTCTGGGAGAAAGGTGTCTAAAAGGGGTTTTGAACCATTAAATCGTGTGATTGCAGATGTATCCCTACTATGCAGCTAGCTGGTTAACAAAATGAACCACACAAGCAGGGGAATGCTGCCTACTTCCCTGGAGGAAGTCTGAAGTCTTTATATGATGGCTCCTTTTTTCCAGAATAGCACCTTTTCTTTCTCCACTCCCTTTGGTTTGTCTTCCTAAACATCCACCTCCTCTGTTGGTACCCTCACCTTTGACCTATCCTCGTGGTGGTATTTTAGCAGCAGGCAGGCTGCTAATAGCACCTTGTCACACTTCCGAAGGAAGGCGGGGTGAATAGACCAGTGGGGGAGCACATCAGAACCAATGCTTCTGCAGCTGGCAGGAGAAACGGAGTCACCCAGGACCCGATGCCATCTTCGCCTCATCATTTAAACAGGACTCTATTTTAGATCAGGGAATTTATGCTGGACACTTGCAAAAGCTATTTGTTACCATTCAGTTCTGACAGTCACCATGCGTCTCTACCAGGATTATGATGTAGTATTCAGTTAGCTCGCTCCTCTGCAGACAGAGCACTGCCACGGCAGGACCAACGGATGCCTTATTCCTTCTCCTTAAAACAACAAACTGTCTAAATGACAAAACATATCTTGTACCCACATGAAGTCTGCTTTCGCTAGGAGAAATCAAGATTACAACTGTCACTTGCATTCTCATCAGATGCCAAGATGAGCAATCATGCCCTCCCATGCCAGGGCACTGTGGCCAGCTGAGTTCACTGATTAGCTTTTCGTGTGGTATGGACCCATTCATTAAGATTAATTTGGCTCATCGAACATGAACAGATCACCTCATCAATCAATCAAGAAAGAGAAACATGTGGCACAGACTGTGGTAGATCTTACACACCACATTTAGAAGTGAAAAATGGAAGATGAAGGCTAGGCCTCAGCTAAGACAGCAAGGACACCGAGTCCTCCCCCTTCAGGGAGCCCTAGGGAGCTGTAGGGCAGAATCTGAACGGCATGTATCATCTGTCTGGGGCAGCACACGCTGAGACCACTGTCATTTATTGTCTGACAGTGGGAGAGACCTCACAGCAGTCGCAAGAGCACTGAAACTGAAGAGCTATCTGTTGTCAGGGCGAAGGGAAATGAATGGAAATTCCCCAAAGCAGGAGCAACTACCTGCTATCTGGTAGTCTCTTCTGAAGGAGACTTCTTATATAGAAAACAGGAAGTCATGAGGACATGTGAGTATGGAGTCCCTGAAGATGCCTGCTATCAGCAACATGCCTCACCTCTTCACAGGGATATTTCACTACAGATCTGTTACCTGCACAGGATAGGGAATACAAGTCCATTCTTCCTGACACACTTCCTGTCCAAGCAGTTTTCCAGAGTGGTGATACTTCAGCAAAGCAAATTTTTAGACTCATACCATCCTCCCAAGAGAAAGGACTCCACCATGGAAAAGCCAATTAGGTGGCACCACGACCTCATACTTTAGAAGAGATTCAATGTTACTGAGCTGATGGTGCACTTTTATTTGGACAGTGAGGAGTTGTGTTTGCAGGCTTTTACAGACAGTATCATCTCAGAGGTTCAAAGGATGATGTGGAGTGTAACCTGAGCACCCGAATGCAGCTTTCTCCTCCCACACTGGCTTTTGCTGACATGGCTGGCAGTGCCTCTGTAGGCAGGGACTTCCGAGGAAGGTGCAACATCACCACAAGCAACAGATGCTCTCACTACGACTGACGTCTGCTGTGGGATGTTCTGTATGGCAAATTTGTTGCTGATTGGTCAATAAATAAAACACTGATTGGCCATTGGCTAGGCAGGAAGTGTAGGCGGGACGAGGAGAATAAAGCTGGGAAGTGGAAGGCTGAGTCGGAGGAGACACTGCCAGCCGCCACGATGAGAAACAGCATGTGAAGATGCCGGTAAGCCACGAGCCATGTGGCAAGGTATAGATTAATGAAAATGGATTAATTTAAGCTGTAAGAACAGTTAGCAAAAAGCCTGCCACGGCCATACAGTTTGTAAGCAATATAAGTCTCTGTGTTTACTTGGTTGGGTTTGAGCGGCTGTGGGACTGGCAGGTGAGAGAGATTTGTCCTGACTGTGGGCCAGGCAGGAAAACTCTAGCTACGGACGTCCTTTTCGGAGGGCTCCTTTGGACCAGCCGCAGACTGGTAGTTTGCTCTGCAATGAGAGCCTCAGTGTTGACTTGGCTTGTCTGTGTGACTGTAAACCATAAGGCTCCTGACGCCAAAGCAAACACCTGACCATTGCTCCATCTGTATTCCCATCACATACGAGACATCCATCTATTCAAACTGACCTGTGGACAGCTGTATAGGTCATTCCCATATGCCACCCCTGGTCTGCACCTCAGCATTAAAATCAAGTACTACTGGCATATACATTCTATCCCCTTACCTGTCCCATGTGAGAAATGTTCTCATAGTGTTCAGGTCATGACAACTGGCATCATCCAATTACCCAAGCCAGGGACACCATGGAGACAGGCTGATGTGGTGATATATTGTGTACCGCAATAAAGCTTACCTGGGGATCAGAGAAGCAGAACAGCCAGCCACTAGCTTACCTCTACAAAATCCTCAGCCTCAAGGGAGCGAGTTCCTGTTTCCTCACACCTTATATACCTTTCTATGTCCTGTCATATTACTTCCTGGGATTAAAAGTGTGTGTCACTACTGCCTGGTTCTGTTTCTCTCATGTAGCCCAGTATGGCCCTGAACTCACAGAGATCCATATGGATCTCTGACTCCTGAGTGACAGGATTAAAGGTGTGTACCACCACTGCCTGACCTCTGTCTAATTCAGTGGCTGGCTCTGTCCTCTGATCCCCAAGTAAGCTTTATTGGGGTGCACAATATATCACCACAGGCTGATCCACATTAGAATTTCAGTGTTGGCTGCCTTAGCAGGGAGGCAAAAGGTCCTATAAGTATAAAAAGTGATGGCTCATACTTAGTATAACTAAGCTGGTATCCTTGATCAATTGGCTTACTTTTTATTATTAGACAGTCTGGCTGTATAGCTCTAGCTGACCCTCGACTCAAGCCCACAAACTTCCTCAGCTCCTCTAGAGCTGGGATTATACCAGAGTATACCACTCTAGTCACTAACTGGTCCTCCTGAGGCTTATGGAATTACTTAAGGCTCAGTACTATCCCTATTTTACCACTTATAACCAGCACAAATGTTGGTATGAATGGCTAACTGGAATGTAGTTTGGCTACAAAAAATGATCCCTGATTTCAAGACAAAACTCTGAAATGGCATGTCAGGTTCAAGCTCAAATTAGAAGGCAAGGAGTTCTAAGAAGTGACTCGCCTGCATGCTTACAGTGCTTGGCAGCAGAGACAAGCGCTGGCCCGCTCCCAGAGAGCAGGCCAGAATGGGACTATGTACCCACCCAGTCCTCATTTCAACATACAGGTTTCTGTAACTCAGACAGAAAAAAAAAAACCTCCCTTCAAGTTTCTAAACTCTAAAAGAACGGCACACTTTTAAAGAAATGACTTCTTTGATCCAACAGGTAGCAATGTGGCTCCTCCCAGGTCCTATGTTTCAGAAACACTTTAAGAGATTTTTAAATAAAAGTTGTTTATATATTTTTTAAAAACCCTTAAGATAAAGGGAAATGTGTGTAAAGAATGATGCCTACAAATGGCAAAACATTTGTTCTTTGTAAACTGTCAATTTTAAAATCCAATCTATGTGATTGGTTTATTTAATGTAGTAATTTTTCTAATCAGATATAAGTGAGGGGTAAGTGATGCATTTGTGTCCTTTGATAAAAACAAGAGCATAGCATCGTAACTAAGCAGAGGGATTCGATTCCTGGTTCTATTACTGTTCTGGTTCATCAAAGTGCACAGAGCACAGAAAGTTCTGCCCCGCCAGTGACATCAGGTAAATGTAATAGACGGTGCGCTGGGCTGCAGCACGTTCTCATCATACAAGTCTTCTGGAAGTTCTTCTTCATCCCCATCAGGAAAGTAAGTAGGGAAAGGCAGGCTTTTACAATGATCCCTATATGCAGGCAGTATAGAGTCTTTGATCTGAGGGAATAAAGGAAAAACTCTTACTCATAAATGATACTAATTATGGTTTTTAAAGTTACCACTAAGGGGCTTAGACCTGCCTCAACTGAATGTACCAGGCTCTGCTGACTCCCCATGGGAAGCCTTACCTTGTCAGAGGAGGGAATAGGGGGTGGGTAAGGGGGAGATGATGGGGGAGGGCAGGAGGAGGGAAGAGAAGGGATCTGTGATTGGTATGTAAAATAAGTAAAACATTTCTTAATAAAAAAAATAAAGTTACCACTAATAAAGAATATCTGTTCCTGTGTGCTTGAACAGGAATGCAACCATTCCATGGAGAGGTGAGCAATGACCCTACTGTTGCTTTTCTTTCTATTCTAGTAAGTTTGATTAATCAATTTTCTTCAATTGAATCAGCTACCTCACAAGAATAAAACCACTAATTAACACTTTATACTTACTGTAACTTGTAAGTATGTATTTAACTGCCCAACAAGATGGATATTTTAGAATTACATCTCAATTATCTTTTATATCCACATTTATTTTTCAAATATGAAGGTCTGATACTAAATACAAATTTAATACCTAATAATTATCCATTTTATTATTCATTCTTTTTGTCTGTTTTTGTTACTTTATTTTCTATACTTAGAACCAAATTTTGGAGGTGAGCTTAAAAACATGCAGAGTTTACCTCATTTTTGTTAAGTGTTAACTAAGAGCACAAAACGAAAACATCACTTTTATTAAAGGAATTAGCTCACTTTGGCAAGGAGCATTTTTACTGAGAAGTTAAAGACAAGGATAACATCAACACAAAGAAAGCCATAAGCATTTACAGTAGCTCTCAGAACACTTTATGGCCTAAAATACTTCAAATTATGTCTGGATTCACAGCTAATACATTTTAGCAGAGATACTGATATGATCTAAAATCCTCTATTTTAGTTTTGGATATTACTGAGTTTCTCAAAGCTTCCGTAGCCCTCATTTGGAGAGGGAAAATACACTATGTACACAGTAAAATAGGGCATATTCATTTTAGCAATGAGCAATGAATAATTTAGTCAAACGACAGCTGCTAGGAACAACTAAGTGTATAAAAACAGTTCTATTTTAAATCCCCTCATTACAATTGTTTCAAGAAATGATCAGGACGTTGCCCGGAGGATGCTATCATGTTCAGTTTTTTCCAATTCACCAATCTTAGACTCAGCCTTCATCAGGAAAACACTCAATAAGAAACCTATGTGCTAATTTGATAAAAAATTGTCACAAAGGGTCCACTCAGTTACACTTACACTTTTACATATCTGCTGTACCTGAGGGTTTCCAATAACAAAAGCATTGACGATTTTTCCAGTGTGAGTGAATATATAATGCAACAGTTAAACTGAGATTTCTGTTTGTTTTTGTTGAAAATCAATGACCACGTTCTATGGAGCTGGAGTCACTTCAACTACGAACCTTCTCACACTCAGAAATTGCAGCTTCACCACAGCTCAGCAGAGTCAGCTTCTACCCTGCATCACCACAGCTCAGCAGAGTCAGCTTCTACCCTGCATCACCATGGCTCAGCAGTCAGCTTCTACCCTGCATCACCATGGCTCAGCAGAGTCAGCTTCTACCCTGCATCAGCATGGCTCAGCAGAGTCAGCTTCTACCCTGCATCACCATGGCTCAGCAGAGTCAGCTTCTACCCTGCATCACCACAGCTCAACAGAGTCAGCTTCTACTCTGCATCACCACGGCTCAGCAGAGTCAGCTTCTACTCTGCATCAGCATAGCTCAACAGAGTCAGCTTCTACCCTGCATCACCACAGCTCAGCAGAGTCAGCTTCTACCCTGCATCAGCATAGCTCAACAGAGTCAGCTTCTACCCTGCATCACCACGGCTCAGCAGAGTCAGTTTCTACCCTGCATCAGCATAGCTCAACAGAGTCAGCTTCTACCCTGCATCACCACGGCTCAGCAGAGTCAGTTTCTACCCTGCATCAGCATAGCTCAACAGAGTCAGCTTCTACCCTGCATCACCATGGCTCAGCAGAGTCTGCATCGTGAGTTTTACTGGATAGAAACGAGTCTTTGGAAGCTCCCAGGCTCTACTTCAATCTATCTGGTCAACATGTCAGTTATATTTACTTTCTTCCTCTCTTTGTAATTTTGAAAAGGACAGCAGGTGCTTGGGGAGGCGGGTGTGGCAGAGTGGTGCTGGCACTGAGACCGCTGGCCCTAGTCACCTCTCTGGACCATGACTCCCACCTCAGCACTTCCGGTTCTTTTGCCTAAAGCAGGACTCATCTATTTCTGGAAGGACAGAGGAAAACTGATGTTCTGGCACTGGCTCCTTTCTCTCCTGAAGCCCTTTCTCCCATGAGCTCTTGGCTTCAGGATTCCAATGTGCAGCTTATTTTATAGTGCCCTTATTTTACAGTGCATCTTTTCACTGATGTGCTACTACAAAGGGACCTGGAGCAGGGAGCAGAGTAAGACCAGCTGCTTTAGAAGCTCCACATTCAGGTCAAAAGAGAATTTAGGGACTCTCGCTCTCCCCGAGTGGTAGAAGTAAAACAGTTGTACAGACCTTTACTAAGCAGTTCTTGTGTCCAGGCACAGAGCCATTCACGTAGATTATGTTGTGTTTGGTGTTCACTCTCCACACCTACAACACGAAGTGAGAGATGAAGGCTCCAGAAACTAGGAAACGTGTTACTAAAAAGCCGAGAATATGCTCAACAAACCATGACCACGCCAGCAACTGAAGGCCAAGCTTGTAAGATCATCAGTACACCTTACTTTAGGAGTGTGGCTGTGGACAACTACTTCAACTCGATGGAGTCTGCTGACACCAAGAATGATATGTGGAAATTCAGTTCTGTTTTGGTTACTATTACTTTTTTTTACAACTAGCAACTGGGAATTCCTAACTCACTGAATCTAATCTCTAAAATAAGCCAGCCAAGCAGACTGCCTTCAAAAACTTCTCAACATAGAAGAAAAACAATAACACACAATGGTTAAAAAAAAAAAAAAAAAAAAGACAGAAAATAGGGGACATCAAGTTATCTATACCACTACACAGGAATCTGTGAAACAGCAATGTTGTTTCACTAAGCAGGAAAGAGTAATGGCAGCAAACAGCTAACTTTAGGTGTCATGACTGGATCAAGGAGCTCGAAGAACAGGAAGCATGACTTCTGGTGTGCCTGTGACTCCAGGAGTCTGTGTGTATGTCACTCAGTGGGTGAACACCATCCCATCAGCTGGGCCACAACAAATGAAAGAGGCCGAGGGAAGTACTTCCTCTAGAGCCTGGAAACCTGCCCCAAGTCATCTCAGCTCCAGGCTCCCAGACTTCGGACTCAGTGCCCGTCCAGGTCCCTGCCTCATTCTCAGGACTTCTGCTTCAGACTGAGAAGTTTATCACTGGGTTTCGAAGTGGAGGTTTTGGACTGAGTCAGGGCTACAGGCATTCCAGGGATTCTAGCCTGTAGGTATCCTATAGTGGGATTTCTCAGCCTTCATATAGTAATGACAGAAGGAAATCCTAAAAATATCCCTTTGTTTATCTATTACATTGTCCAGTCAAGCATCCAAAGCATCCATCCACTCATCCAAATAGTCACCCGCTCTGGAGAAGCCTGACCTAATTATATAAAATTACACAGAATCTATACCTTAAATGTATGTAGAATTAAGATGGGAAGAATCTGCACAAAATGCCGCAGCGACTACTGGATGCTGTTGCTATGGGTGGCTTATTTTGTTCTTTCTACGCTTTGAGCCACATACATCCAAATATATACATATTTGCTGTTTTAATCAAAGTATAAGCACAGAGCATCCATTATAGTACAAACTGTTTGCATTCAGCTGTTGAAGATTTTCTTCTGATATTAGTATTAAATATTAACTTCCCTTTTAACACTCTCTCTCTCTATCTCTCTCTCTCTGAAAATGAATGCACCACAATGAAGTAATTTTATCCCCTTTACTGGGACTGTCCCCTCCTTTCCTTATCCACATCTATTTCACTCACACATTTGACATAAAATCTAAGACCGCTCAGCATATAACCTTCAGCTTCTCTGTGATGATATACATAATATACAGAAACACAATGTCCAGGGAGCTTTTGTTCTCTTTATAAAGGAAAATATTACATCTAATGCTTGGAATCCTTTCTCCCTTGCAATATCTTGTGAAAATATTTCAGTTCAAATAGTAGGTCACTATTTTTTTCTTTGTAACAACTACACATAACACGGCTTAAATGTAAAATATAATTATGCAGCCCCCATTACAGTACAACTCAACTGAATGACTAATTCCACACCTACAAGTTAACCACACACCTCATGCACCCTCCATCCTTAATAGTCAGAAAGCACACTTGTTCAGGACACACACACACACACACACACACACACACACACACAATGCATGCTCTAGGCCTTTGCATATAAACTTACAAACAGTACTTTATAGACTTACTTTCAGTCCATACACTGTCCTGCTCTGGTTTCCCATCTGCCCAGGCATTTTGGTTCCAGGCCAGACTCTGGCAACATCCTGAACAACAAAAAACAAAGTTCACACTTTCAGTACTTTTGACTTTGAGCAGTACTGACTAAATCACAGTGGACACCACAAACAAGAATAATTAAGTCCTACTCTTTCAATTCTTTTATTCAGCTCTATTAGTAAAGAACTGAATGTGGATGTATATCCATTTACTCCTATGTTGGAACATGGTTGAAGAATGGAGTCATGTGAGAATTCTGAGTGCTTGTGAGAAAACTCCAAGAGTCTTGTGACCTGAATTTCTTCAGGACACAGAATTGTTCTTGGACTGTGTTTTCGTGCTCCTCCTAGGTGCAGTGGATAGGAGTTTACTTCAGCTGCTGTTACTCATGTGCCTCTATGGAAAAACATGTTTGTGCCATGTGTGGCTTGTCCTGTGACTGAAAACCTTACTCATGTGATTCTTTTTAACTCTCAGAGTATAAATTGTCTGATGCTCTGAATAAAACTGGCTATTGCATGAGACTTTAGTCCGCCTCATTTTTAGGCCCCTTTCCCAGGTTCATCATTCCCAATTAGAGCTGTAAACACTCCCAGATGGGAGCTAAACACAGACTACAAAGCAGACAGGAGACAAACTCAATAGCAAGGATACTAACTGATCTAACACAGACAGAAAGTTAAAAAAAAGAAGAAACCAAGGAAACACAAACATGCCACATCACCATGCTACGGGAAACCAGTGGGCTGCTTTCCTGATTTCACCTAATCCTAGTTACTGGCTTAATGGGCTTCACCTACACCACCTGAATGGGCTTCTTCCTCAGGTGTGAAGTCATTTTTCTTGGCTCATATTATCTGCATCAGCAGACTAGTATTCGTCTAACTAGCTCTAGCTAGTGCTGAGAATGGACACTGATCCCTTATCTAAAGACATCAAATGTAAAGTGAGGGACCACTCACTGAACTCTTAGTGAGCAGTTTTGTGTGGCAGGCACACCCTCGAAGCAGCTGAAACTCCCAAGTAGAATTGACACCAGGACAGGTCACTCCATGTGATGGGTTAATTCCCATTTTGACCTAATTGGATTTAGGCTCACTGGGGACACACCCATGGGCATGTCTCTGGGAGCATTTCCAGGGAGGCTTTACAGGAGGGGGGCCCTCCCTAAATGTGGGTGGCACTCTCCCATTGGCTTAGGGTTCCAGGCTAGAGAAAAAGGAAGAAAAAGGAGAAAGCAAGCTGAGCAGTGGTGTCATCTCTGCAGAGGTGGACACCACATGACCAGTTGCTCCCCATGCCCTCCATCAAAGCCAGGGCCTATCTCACTCATGCCTTCCCCTCTACCATGGGCTGGACTCCTGAACTGCGGACCTTCCTTAAGGGCCACGCCAGGTATTGTCACAGTCATGATGAACTAAGTAAGTCCTTTACTGTGTGCTGCACACAGTTCAAAGAGGAGTTCTGAGTACTGCAGACTAAGTGACTTGTACCCGTTCTATATAGTGTATGTTAACAAGTTCAGCACCCCTGCTCAACTTAACACTGCCATTACAAGCACTCTAAAGAGTACAGACTACATTACCTAATCCTTTAGTAAAGTATTTGCCCAATACCTTACGTATATCTGACAACAAATAACCATCAATCATAAGAACAGGAAAGTTGTAAAATTCACCTGAAAACATTTCATCAACCCTAAATAGAAATTCCATACCCATTAGCTGCTCCTACCTCCAACCCTCACAGAAACAACCTTCATAGATTTGACTAGTTTGGAAAGTTATATAAACAGTCATAAAATATTCTAGCTTCTTTGGCTTAGCATGTTTTCAAGGTTCATCCATAGTACAAGTATCAATCCCTCAGTCCATTTTACTAAATGACACTCTATTGAATGGATATATCAACTTTAGTTAGCTACATCAAAGTGATGGATATTGCCACTATGGATATTCATGTGAGTTTTAGTATGCATAGTCATTTCTCTTGGACATATACTCATGAATTGCTAGGTCACAGGGTAACTTTACACTTAACCATTTTAGAAACTGCCAAGCTGTTTTCCAAAGTGGCCGTCATCATTTAAAATTTCTGCCACCAATGTATAAGGGTAGTTTCTTCATGTTTTGCCACAGTGTGTTAGCACAGACCTTTGATAAACTATGTGCACCCCAGTGCGTGAAGTGCTGGCTCACAGTAGTTTTGATCTGCATTTTCCTACTGCTGAAGAAGGTGAGCACTTGCTCACTGGCCTGACAGATACTTTCTTGGCTTCTTTGCCTGGTTTTTAAAACTGAGTTACTTTTACTATGGGCTGTAAGAGCTCTTTATTTACTGTGGGTAAAGGTCTCATGAGGTATCTGATTTATAAGCACTTTTTCCATTCTGTGTGCTGTCCTTTCCTTTTTCCTATGTTATTATTTACAGCTTGAATGTTTTACATTTTCATGATGTGTAACTCAACTGTACTTTCTTCTGCTGATTAGACGTCTGGGTCATATCCAGGGCCTTGTCCATCTCATGGGCATGAAGATTTATTACTGTGGTTTTTGTTCTAAAATTTTAGGCTTTTCAATCTGTCTTTAACTGCACCTTTCTTTTTTGGTGGGCGGTGGCAGGGCTAGAGACTAACCCCAAGACCTAGTACTTGCAAGCACCCACCGCTGATCAGCCTGGTTGTGTAACCTATTTCTATATAACTACGTGTTTTCACATTCCCAAAATGTTGCCAAAAGAACGGAAAGGATTCTCAGCACTGCCAGTTGTTCAGTCTCAGCCCCATTTGCTTCCTCACTGTCTCCCCACACACCCGCTTTCCCTTCTATCACATGATGGCTGGCTCTTGAGAATGAGAATGCTCTCGTGTGTAACCATGGTTACACATGTGATAAACCTCAGAAAACTAGGTACGCCACCAACAGATCCACAGCCTCTTCTAACTTTGTCAACTGTCTGTCCCACTGAATGTCTGTAATACACCATTGTCCCCAGGTTAAGATCCACTTCAGAGTTACTAACTGCATTTAGTTGTCATAGCTCTTTAGACTCCCTATGTCGGAAACAGCTGCAGTCTTCTCGTTTTCCAGGGCCTTCAGCACTCTTGTGGGGGACAGGCCAGAACACTGACCATCACCTTTGTCTAACATTTGCCGTGATTAAATCTGAGAGATGCATTTATTTTTTTTTTATTAAGAATCAAGAAAGAAATGAACACAGGTTCACTTTTCCTTTTTTCTTTCTGTGGTCTTGGGAACTGAACTTAGAGCCTCCCTCATGCTAGGCCAAGCACTCATCCACTAGGCTACAGCCATGGGCATGGTGGATTCATCATGCTGTCTATCTAACTGGTAGTGCACATTTGATCAACTAGTTAAGGATGCGTAAAAGCAAATTAGTCCCCTCTACTGTTAATACTTTCTCTTATGGGTAACCTGCAATTTGTTTTGAGACTAGATGTAAATCTAGCTCCCCTCAAGCTTCCATCATTTGATTTGTATCCACTGTAAATCCTGAACTGCTCACCTACGATGGTCACCAAGCGTGCGGTATTTTATCCCTGTCACCAGGGATTAGCCAGCATTAGACCGTCAGAAAGGACATTCCATTTTCTTCCACTTTCTTACATAATCACTCATGCAATTCATTTATATCAGCAGGAACTTTATCATGAGTCCTTTCCTCTTTGGGGAAAGTTGTTATTGCGTGATTCTGAGAGAAGGAGCCTCTGTGTTCCATGAATTTTCCTCTATGACATTTTAGTTGTAAGCCAAAATTGTCCCAAATGGGAAGTTCATTAAGCTGGTTTCTGGGTCCCTCTATGTGTCTATCATCATTTAAGCATGTCCCTTTTTCCTGTCTAAGGCATTTTGGGCTCACTGTATCTTTCCAGTGCCAACTACTGAAAGCGTTCCTTTCTGAAGGCACAATGCTAAGAAACCAAGTCTTGCAGCCTAGGAACTTCCACTACACTGGAGCACTTTCATAGGTCACTGCAGCAGTCAGAGAAGGTGAAAATTGGACAGACAGACAAGCACATACACAGGGCGGGGCCATACTGCTAAAACACGATTCAAGGCTTGTTCTAATTTTCCTTTCACACCGTAGCATCCTTCTCTAGCAGAGAAACTTGACTCGGCTCCCATCATTAGTGTATTTATTTCTCTGCTCAATCCTACAACTCACAGAAAATTACTTCTGAGTTGCCAGTATCACTGCAAAGGGCAAATCTAACTAGAATTTAACAATTGTGTAGTGTGTTGTGTGTGTATGTGGGTGTCACGCTTGTATGCACATGTTGGATCCCCTGGAGCTGGAGTCACAAGCATTTGCTGGACACCTGGCTTATTACCTGGATGCTGAGATCTGAACTCTGGGTCTCGTGGTTGCTCAGCAATCCCTCATAACTGCTGAGCCACCTCCAGCCCAAAGAGTGCTTTTTGAATTGAGACTCACAGTATCTTACCAGGTGACTATTTAAAACACCGAGTTAGTTTTCCTCCCTCTTTAGTGTGGCTGTTACTCATCTGAGACACTGAAGCTCATTTTCTAATTATATTTCATGTATTTACCCCCTCAGTGTTTTCATTATGAATATGCAAAATATTACCAAGGATCCAGGAGTAAAAAATACACATTATAAAAAGAGAATCTACCACTCCTAAGCCTTCCTACCTTGTTTCCACCCATCACTTGGGGGAAGTGCTCACACTAGATTTTATTTCATCTTCCTGGCCCTTCTACTGGCCAGGACAAACAGAACACACATACTTTTAGTCTGCCACAAATCATCACTGTTTCATGGAGGTCTCACTCTTTTTTTTTTTTTCTTTTCTAGAGCAGCACTATTTTCTCTGCATAGACATACCACAGTTTTATCCACCCAAACTCAAGTGTGGGTCTCTATCCCTGCTCATTACAAATAGCACTGCAGGACTGACTTGTGTCCTTAGGCCAAATTCCAGAGGAAGCTTTGCTGGGTCAAAGGACATGCATGTGTAGTTTTACCAAAGTTCTGCCTGTTCCCCTTCATTGTGTTCCCAACACGGATTTTGATTCTTATTTCCTGGCAGTCTTGTGAACAGATTTCTCTGCAGCTCTCAGTAGACAGTATGACAAAAATTCAGCTTCTTGGTAATACAATCTGTTAGGTGAGAACTTAGTACCTAAGGGAAGCTATAATCTGTTTCTTATTGTGAAAGAAATAGAATATGTTACCAACCACCAACCATTAGAAGGATTCTGCATTTACTCTGAGGCGCCAAGATTTTATTAAAAAGCTCTACCTCTGGGAAAGAAACACTGAATTAGCAAAACAAAGGGTCTTTCCTTCATTTCTTATGTTACTATGGCTTGTTTCTCCACTTATCTGAATGCCCTCCCCGACACAAACACTATAATACCATCCTTGACAATCTCACACAACTGTTTCCCCTAGAGCAAAACAAGTGTGTGAAGCAGCAAACAGAGCAGCTAGCTGCAGTTGCCTCAGTGCTTTAGCTAGGACAGAGGAGAGAGAGGAAAGAGAATGCTGCCGTGGGCATGTATGTACTGGAAAATGGTGAGGCCAGCCTGGGAAACTGACAACTACTAGGACCCACCGAAGCCAGGTTAAAGTATCTGGCTTGAGCTGACCAACAGTGAGCACTGTGTACAGAGGGTGAGCACTTGGCACTGAACAGAACACCACTGTCTAGTCTGTGGCTGATGCCTGCATTCCTAGCATGCCAGAGCTGAGGCAAGATAGATGCTGCAGGTTATGGGCTAGCCCAGGCTACAGAGTGAGATCCTGCCCAACTCCCACCTCCCTCAATGGGCATCACTATTTATACTCACTCCAGTTGAAATAGCTCCAGGTCTCCTGTGGGTCTTCGTTTGACCGTGAGAAGCAGGCTGGCCTTTAAATCCCCATCTTTTCATGACACCCTGAAAACCTTTACCAATACTGGAAAAAAAAAGTTAGAATTTACATAATGAGTGGAGCGTAAGATTTCTGCCTGTACTTTCTTGACAGCACCTTGGAATTCTAACAAGACTTCCTATCTAAATAACCAGAAAAGGCCATACCAGCCAAACTGCAAATGAACATTCCTTCATCTGTCTTGGTTTGCACCTCTCCCTGGAGTCTAACTCTGTATAAAATGTTATGTCAAGACTGTGAGACAATAGCAAGCTAAGCATGGGGAATTTACCTAGGAAAGGTTCGCCCTCATAATCTTGTGATATCATAGCAAAGCTCTAGAAGTTTCAGCTTCCTAACAGACATAATAGGATGGACCCCAAAGACCCCTATCTCCTAGTATTCATGCTGTACTTAATCCTCTTCCCAGGAGCCTGAGACTGATTCAGTTTAATGGAAAAAACATGCTAAGAGATGAGCTGTCAGTCTGAGGTTGGTCGCAAGAGACTCCTCTAGTCCTCTCTCTGTCCTCTTGCTTCCCAGGCTCTGTAAGAAGCATCCAGCACTATATAAGCACTCCTATGAAATAGAATGTAGCAAGGCTGGTTCCAGCCAACAGCTGAGGCCCTGTCACTGCTGCCAACAACCCTGCCACTGAGCCTGGAGGCAATTTTTCTCTAGTCAGGGCCCAATGTGACCATAGCCTTGTGAGAGACCCTGAGCCAGATAGAGCCAGGCAAGGTACTCTGAATTTCTAGCCACAGACATTGAGGCTGTCAAGGTTTATTTAAGCAATTGTGTGAGGGGCAACGAGTCAGAGAACCGCAGATAGGGCACAGAACAGAGCACTGAATAAATAAACCTCTAGACTGGCTCTGCCGTTTACAAGGGTGAGCCTCTAGCACAGTGGTTTTCAACCTTCCTAACGCTGCGGCCCTTTCAGTCCCTCATGGTGTAGTGACCCCAACCATAAATTTATTTCACTACTACTTCATAACTGGAATTTTGCTACTGTCATGAATCATAATGTAAACAAATAGCTGATATGCAACCCTATAGGGGTTGTGACCCACAGGTTGAGAACCACTGCTCTAGATGCTCTAGATGTTTTAGAGGACACCAGGTGGATCTTGATCTGTGTTGAATAGGAAGCTAGTGGAAAAGCAAAAGGAGAGAAAGACAGATTCTTAATAACCTAAATATTATTTTTAAATGAAAACACTTTATTACAAAGTCTGTTAGTTAAAGAAACAAGCTGATGACACCAAGGTTAGCAAAGTCTGTCTCTGAATGTCAAGTGCATTCCTACAAGTGATCCTGTGCAGGTCTGAGGACTTGTAAGTCTTCTACAGGCATCATCTCTATGTTCTTACGGTGGAGATTTTCTTCATCTCTCACCAGACAGCGACAATATATTTCAAGGTAATATTGTGTGGTTTCAACAAAGCTAGTTATAATTAGACGTGCACTGTTCAGACCCAATACAAAACAGCACGAAAACCACACTATTCCCACAAGGATTCTGCTACACGTTTATTAACAAAGAATTATATCAGACAGGATGGATTGAAGAAAGCCCCTTGAATAACAGTTTTAGATAAATCAAGAAGTTAATATAGGCCGGGCGGTGGTGGCGCACGCCTTTAATCCCAGCACTCGGGAGGCAGAGGCCGGCGGATCTCTGTGAGTTCGAGGCCAGCCTGGGCTACCAAGTGAGTCCCAGGAAAGGCGCAAAGCTACACAGAGAAACCCTGTCTCGAAAAACCAAAAAAAAAAAAAAAAGAAGTTAATATAAAAACAATTGGAAACTATAAATAGAGCCCAAAAGACATGCACTCTCGAATCACACATCAAGACTTGTTTAGAAAGAAATTAAACGGAGTTTACACCTCTTTCTGCCAGCATATACTACTCTCTCATCCCTCAATAACTACAAAAGTAAACAGTCCTAACAAAAAGTTAAAATAGAAATGTAACATATATTTAATGGAAAAAAATTACTGCATAATTTTATAGAGAGATGAACACCAAAGAGAAGCTATGAGAATCAAATACTGAAATTATGCTTCAGATATTATTAATATTTCCACTTAACAGTGAATGTTAGGGCATACTTGCAAAGTAATGTAAAAAGCTTAGTAATTTACAAATGAAAAGAAGTGAGTGAAGAATGATTTGGAAGTATTCTATCATTTAGCAAGTAGCACCTAAGAGCAGCAGGGGAAAATGACCAGCAATACTCCTCTTGGGGGAACATGCTTTAAAAATACCACACTTGCACTCTGGCTGCCTTTTGTAGACGTTCACTACTGCCTCCAGAGTTCTCAAACTGATTATCTGCCTTAAAAAGACAGCTTGAGTGCATGCACCAGGAAAACGCAAGCAGGTAAATTACAGAAGATAATTGAGCTCATTTTAGAGTAAATGATTACAAGATGAAAGTGGTATCCTCAAAGTGCTAATTATGTGTCAGCTAATTGCAGATTGTTTTCCAGTCTGGTCTGGAACACTTCATGAGTTCCACTGTGTACAACGGGAACCTCTTCAGTAAATAACCTTTAAACAAAAGGCAGAAAGAAACACAAGTGACGCGACAATTACTGGCTTGACTCAGGCTGCAGAGAATAGAGTGCACCTGTTGATCCATGGGAGGTACAGGTAGCGAGTCTCTGGTTTCTCCCAGTTGCTATCCAACTTGAGAACAAAAGTCAAACAAAAGCAAGGAATGAACTCATCTTCACTTAGCATGCCCTGGTGTGATTCAAATACAATACTTCTGCAAGTCACAGAAGAAAAACCTTCACAGAAATGTCTACACAACACAGATGCCTACCTCCCTTACCCCCCACCCACTGTGGGGCTTTGCCTGCTTGTCTGTCTTAGAGAGGGTCTCGTGCTGCGGCCCCGGCCAGCCCAGAGCTCACTGCCTAACTCAGGCTGGCTCAGAACTGATGCCGTCCCCTGTCTCTAACGTGCTAGGTTTGCAGGTGTGCCTCTTCCTAGCTACCCACTGCAGTTCCTAACTAATGGCTGCAGAAATAAATCAAATGAAAATTCAAATCCGGGAGAATTCAATTTTAAACAGTCCAATTTTAGTGGGGCTTACGTGAAAACAAGAAAAACAAAAATGAATGTATTTAGGATACTTACACTGTTTAAAAAGTCATTTAAAAGCAAGAAACAAGCCGGGCGGTGGTGGCGCACGCCTTTAATCCCAGCACTCGGGAGGCAGAGCCAGGCGGATCTCTGTGAGTTCGAGGCCAGCCTGGGCTACCAAGTGAGTTCCAGGAAAGGCGCAAAGCTACACAGAGAAACCCTGTCTCGAAAAACCAAAAAAAAAAAAAAAAAAAAAAAGCAAGAAACACCTCAGAGGTGTTTTAATTTAATTTAATTTAGATGACTACTACTACTGCCCTGATCCTTGGCCCATGCCCCCCATAAGTAAGGTGGAGATAACACCTTACTTAGCCCAGAATCCAGCCTAAAGAAGTGAGCCTAATGCCATCACTACTACTACTATGTCGTGGGAAGAAAGGAAAGAAAAAAGGTTTAGAGGCCTACAGGATTAGTAACCGTACACCCTTCCAGAAGGTAATGCATAACTTACTTTTCCCAACTCATCCCATTATCTCTAGAGATTAATTCTACAGGAATTTCATCCCCTGGCCCTGCTGACATCAATGTCCACTTTGTGGTTTCCTTAATCTTTGAGACGCCCTTTCTCCCTAATGCCACATGAAAAGGCAGTTTGAGCATCCTGCTTCTGATTGTCTTCTTGCTTTGGTTTAAGTCAGATTGGCATATGTTAGCTTGCACTGACCACCTGGTTTTTAAAATAAAGTTTTATTGGGGTAAAGAAGCACACATTCGTTTTACATGTTGACTATGTCTCTGTTTTGGAGCAATCGTGTCGAAAGATGTCTGATATATTAGATGATATCAGAATTGAACTTGAATGATTTCATGCTTTCTGTTCACTTCTCAAGTCTTTCTTACTGAGGTAGAGCTTTCCTTTTAAACTAAACAAAAAGCAGTGACAACATGGTGATGGTAGCCAATGCTCCTGAGCAGGACATACTCAGTGCGAGGCTTGAGCCAAGTGCTACAACAGTGGTTCTCAAGCTGTGAGTGGCAACCCCTGGGAAGGGCCATTTGATTCCTAAGGCCATCGGAAAACATAGATGTTTACATTATGATTCCTAACAGGAGCAAAATCACAGCTATGAAGTAGCATGAAAGTAACTTTATGGTTGGGGTCACCACAACATGAGGAACTGCATTAAAGGGTCGAGGCGTTAGGAAGGTTGAGAACCACTGGGCTAGAAGCACTCATGTTAAAGATGAAGCAGTAAGAGATCAAGGAACTTGCCTCGGTCACAGAGTTATTGTGGCTATGACCTTGTTCACCCGTTACTTACTATCTTGCTGATCTTGGATTTTGCTGCTGGTAGATTTTCATTAGGAACGCAATTAGAGATATAGATAACCACTAAAATATGTTTAAACAACAAATCAAGAGAACTCTGAAACACTTCCTCCCAATCTAGCTTCATCTCAAAACAACCATCCACGTTAACCTTCTTTCTGAGAGATTATCTCTTTATAATCTCACTAATGTCCATAAACTTACTGCTCTGAACAGCTAGTAAATCAAGTTATTAAAAAAAGACTAGAAATGGAGGACAAAGTAGAAAAGTCTGTCCTCACATCAGTCACAGGAGAAAGGCAATGAGAAGACACAAACAAAACCTATCCTCAAAAGGCGAGGTCTCCATTCATAGTTAATGGGAAAATGATACTCTCATGGGCTCTGAACAGGGGAGCTGCCTCCAGAGGAGAAGCATTGAGGAAAGGACTTAAGAGGATAGACGGACAACAAGCGAATGCATGTGGGCTGTCCAGACACCCCACAGCCCAGGAAGTCAGTTTCATGGAAAAGAGGCTTCAATGAGGATGAATCACACAGCTAAGGAGCCAACAGAGCACTCAGAAGTTCAATCAAGGTCCATGCGAGCAGGCAATCAGTCTACAAGCATTTAAGAGCACCAGAGGATGCAGTGACATGCTGGCTGGAAGTGGTACAGTCCCTGGAAACACTTACCACGAGTTACGTAAGATCCAAGGCAAGCTGACCTCAGGTAAGACTGTCTACAGGAAGATACACAGACCAGAATGCAATGTGCTTTCATGGGGGCAGCCCGCTGCTCATACAGAAATGAAACGAATGCTGAGCTGCAGCCATGCAGCAGCAAGGACCTCCTCCTTTCCTCCAGAGCTGGCCAGCACTGTTTTAATTCTAAGGCTATTTGTTCTCCCAGTACTTATTTACTATTTAGACTGGAGGCTGCAATATAATTTCAAGTCATCTTGTTTTCTAGACTAGGACCTTACAAAAGAAACATTCCCCTATCATACTTGATACACAAGGCTGGAGTTACCAAAAGGAAAAAAAAAAAGCCGAAGACACTCAACAGTAGCATATGAACTGAAAGCATCCACTGACCACAGGCATTTGAAAAGCTAAGCTCTACACCAAGCTGGTCACAAGTCTGGCCACAAGACAGCTGCTGACCAAGGCATCTGACTCTGCATGTCTTCTCAGGGTGTCCTACAAGTTATGTAATGGAATTCACACAGCATCGTATACAAGTTCACAGAAGTGCATGGTATGATTTGTAATAATTCATAAATTTCAAAGTAGAATAAGCTGCTTTATAATCCAGAGTCTTCACTGGTTAACCAAACCAAAGGTCAGGAAAGCTGAATAGTAGTCACCAAGAGACAAGTCAATGACCTTACTGGCTTCAGTAACTAGGGGAAAGCAAAAGGGACAGGTTCAGAATCTCCTAAAGACTCCTTACCACCGATCTACCCCATGTCATGTCTTCAAAGCTGGACAAAGGTAAAGGCATCTAGCAGCTTCTCAAGTGGCCTACGTTTGACATGAGGTGGCCATTGTGTGGAAACCTATCTACCCAATTAAGGAAACTCATCAGCTTTTATCCAAAGAAACCTGATGAGTGTTGGCCTCAGTGTCTTTAAAACAAAATCTGATGTTTCACGATCCAAGTGTGTGTTGTCTTGGTCTTCAAAGCAGACCCAATGGAGAAAGCATTAATTCACGTGACCTTCCACTGAGACCCATTTCTGGAAGCACACATCTCAGTCCATCTGATGTAAACTCTTTGTATGAAACTAACCCAGTGCAACTTGAAAACTAACCGTCAGTGACTTGACAGATAGGATTATGGGAGCACTTGTTTCTATTCGCCACTTGAATGACTGCACGTTCACCCACCCTGTTCTTCAACACACGCAGAGAACCAAAACAAGGAGAAGTGCTGAGACCTACGTTTTGGCGGTGACATCCACATACTGTCCAGGACGAAAGTGAGCCGCATAAAGAGGGGTTCCTTTATGAAAAGAAAATGAGAAATCGATGTTACCTGTCAGCACAGAAATGATTTTATTCACAGGCCATTCCCCCACAGAGCACGCGGCTGTGCTTTCAAGTGCTTGTAGATCTTCGGCAATTAGGAACATCAGAACTATCCAAACAATGGAGCCATTCACAAACAAGTTCTAGTTGTCAATGAGAAGGTGAAGGACAAGGGGACCCTTTTTAAGGTGCATGTGCTAGAGTGAGCAACCAGATACACCTGACTGATTAGCTAGCACCTTCATGGGGCTTATGTGGTACTGGTCAAAATGAGTGAGTCCTGTGGTAATCCAGTGCCCCTGCTGGCAAACAAATATAATGATTTCCTGTTGTTTCAGCAAATAAGCATGCTGAATTAAAATATATTATCCATTTCACCTAAAGGGGAAAAAAACAAAACAAACCATGAGAAGAACTCAGTGCATCGGGGTTTGATACAATCTTTTGTCACCCAGTGGACTAGGAAATGTACTTCCTGGACTCAGCCTCTCCTTGGCTGGGTACTGATTACAGTGGGGATATTCACATAGCACCTGACATGTCAGATTACTTCTGTTCTAGGCATGTGCTGATAAAATCTTTCAGCTAGCACAGGCCTAGGTCTTTGGATTAGACAAAACCTGCCCTAATAGATACTTCTAAGTCTATATTAGAAACGTGTAGGTCACAGCCCTGACCTAAAAAATTGTCATTTTGGTTAAGTCAACACTACATCATCAATTAAAAGCCTAATTAAATAAAAAAAAAATGAGAGACCAATGTAGCTGAGAACGAAATTGAAAGCCAGTTTTAGTTTGTTTAATTAGTACTAAGAGTGGGGTGCAGTGGTATTTTAGAGGGCAATTTCTTTAAGGTAAGATTACTCTAGGTTTGTAAGGGAAAAGAAAAAACCTTAAATAGGAACTTAATTCTATGTGTGCCAAAACATCACATTACCCTCTATAAATAAATACAAATGATTTGTCAATCAAAAATATTAATTTAAAAAATAAAAATTAAAGGTTTACAAGGGATCTCATTTTTGCCAGGCTGAACAACTCAAACTGTTATTTGACCATCAATGATTCACAAAAATGTGATTTAATATGGTTTGAGCTACAGCAAAAATTAATGTGGACTTGACTTTTGTAACTATCCTAAACATGAACAGAGGGCTTAGACAAATTAGATATGTTAAGATCAAAGTGGGTACTTAAATTTGCTTCAGAACAAATCCTTTATATTCAAAGTGGAATATATGCTCATTATATATCAGACTGATATCCAATAATGCAAGTCTTACCATAATTTTTGTAATCAAAATTATTTTGCCTTAAAATTAAAAATTTAAACTTAAAAAATTGACTATCTTCTTGTTGCAATTCAAGTTCAAAAACTGAGGGGCTCTCTTAAAGGTCAAAACACACCAAAATGTCATAATTTAGTAACCATATGAATTAGTACAATCACACGTCAAACCTTAATTTGACATTCCACGGACAGGCAAATGAATCTTTATGCCAAGGGCTATGTTTGGCCATTCTCCTTTTGAGGCTGTATTTTCTCACTCTCCAGGAGAGTGTACTATTCCTAGCAGAATACCAGCCTGCAAATTATGAACACATTTTAAAGCTAGAACACTTACTTGGGGAGGCTTTTTAAAAAAATGTGACACTCCACATTTGCAAACAAAAGTTCCTCCCTCTCAGGGAAAACAAAGAGGATCCTACAGCTTTCCCACTTCCCAGAGACAAATACTTGTTTGTTCCTGGTGATTAAATAAGATAGGTTTTGTATTTAAAAATAGGTGTTTGGGACTTGGTATTTTGTTTAGCTTTATTGAAAGGGCTGACATTAAACAAAGCACATATTTGGGTATTTTTACCTCCCTCCTCTCCCGACCTCAGATTACCTGGCTTAATTACAGCATTATCTGTTACACGAAAGATTTTAATTGTCTGTTTTGGTGGCAATCCAAGTTCTCGGTAAAATTCCAATATAGAATCAGGTTTCTAGAGGGAAAAGTGGCACGTATAAATAACACATTAAACAGTACAAGTGGACCTGAATGCAGAGACCCAAATCAAGTTACAAACAGCCAGAAAAATAAAAATCAAAGCACAGTGTATTTCCCTACTGAACCAACAGCATCTAATTCCCACTGTTTAAGGGAGCTGAGATTATATCTACAATCATTATACATCTAAGAATCCTTACCGCTTAGGATTCAGCCAGGCGTACAAGTTTCAGATAGAATGTACGCCCCTGCTGGTCTGAAAGCACACCTGACCCCGGCTGCAGGTCCTTGGTCTACACTAGTCACTCTGTTTATGGGGCCTTTCCCACAAATTTTTGGATGACTTGCCCTCTTAATTACTCAGGCCTCCTCAAGTACTGTCTAAAACAGAACCGTTTTTGTCACCTGCCAACCCCTCAGCCTATTTTTCTTATTCCTTAGATCATTTACCTATGTCCATCCTGGTACACTTAAAAAAAAAAAATTTGCTGCTTGGTGGTGGCGCATGCCTTTAATCCCAGCACTCAGAAGGCAGAGCCAGGTGGATCTCTGTGAGTTCGAGGTCAGCCTGGTCTAGAGTGAGTTCCAGGACAGGCTCCAAAGCTACACAGAGAAACCCCGTCTTGGAAAAAAAAAAATTGCTTAATCATCCATACCTGCAGCTCAGTGAACTGTATTCTGAACACTGAAGACACTGCTGTTCTGATGGGGCTGTACAGTGAACACTGCTGTTCTGATGGGGCTGTACAGTGAACACTGCTGTTCTGATGAGGCTGTACAGTGAACACTGCTGTTCTAATGAGGCTGTACAGTGAACACTGCTGTTCTAATGAGGCTGTACAGTGAACATTGCTGTTCTGATGAGGCTGTACAGTGAACACTGCTGTTCTGATGAGGCTGTACAGTGAACACTGCTGTTCTGATGGGGCTGTACAGTGAACACTGCTGTTCTGATGGGGCTGTACAGTGAACACTGCTGTTCTAATGAGGCTGTACAGTGAACACTGTTCTCTGGAGAAGCTATTGTTCCCTCCAAAAGACAATCTTTCCTCACTCTCTGCTCTTCCCCATCTCTCTTGCTGAAAATGCCAAAGCCCCCTTTTCTCACCTTCACTCACAGTTTCTTCTCCAAGAGGAAACACTAAAGCCTTCCTACAAGTCTGGCTCCTTCAAATTCTTTTCCTGATGTTTCAAATTCAGATATATTTCATTTAAAAGGTTTCAAATTTGCTTTTGACATTCACATATTTAGCTGATTTATAAAGCATAATATTATTTTATTAATATTGAATTTGGAGTACACCAAGAAGCTTCTGAGAAAAATCCCTTACGTTTGGTATGAAATGATAGAATGAACATCACAGCCTACATTAACATTAGACTCAAGCATAAAAATGACTAAGCTGACATATACATCTTAATAACTCTTCAGTTTCACTAGAACGGAAGAACTGTTTCAACTAAAATCACAGTATTATAAAACTAGGTCTAAAGATGGAGGAGCAAAGCGTTTTCCTTTTCTTCTTATTGTTTATTTTTATCTTATTTTTACTCTTCAGCTTTCTGGGAGCGGGGAATCCTGCAATGGGAGGGCAGATGCAGAGGTCCTGGGAGATGAGTGGGATTTGGGTGTATGGTGTGAGGTTCCCAAAGAATAAATAAAAAAGTTTAAAAATAGGTTAAAAAAAAACCCAACTAGGTGTTAGTCATGAGAAAAACCGAATGCTCAAATTAAGCTGAAACCAGATGCATTGTAACAGTCTGGTTGGCCCCTCCCCCTTCCCCTCTAACCTTCCACATAAATGATTTACAAAGGCAATCTGGAGGCTGACAGCACTGTCACACTCGGCAGCCCCGTCCACGAAGCTGTCTTTCCGCTGCAGAATTCCTTAGCAATTACCCTTCCTACAATGAAAGTACTGCTCTGCTCCCAAGGTGAACTGATTTCATCAACTTTTAGGGCCACTTAATGTTCTTACGAAGAAACACTATGAACCACATCAATTTTTATTTATAAGATGCAAAAATAACAAAAACAAACTAGTCTGGTTTCTTAAGAGGTGTAAATTCTTTGCAGTTAAAAAAAAGGTTCTATCCCTATTATAAATGAAAGCATTTTAATCAACTTATTTTGATTGCTCAACTATTCAGTATGTTCTATTCATAGTCTTGTAAACAACAAGCAAACCAAAAGATAAAAACAAGACCTCCATATAGTCAGTCTATCTGCAGCTTCCCTAAGGGCTAAAACCTGTAAGGAGCCAGGACATTCTTAGTTTGAAAAATCTCTTTTCTTTTTAAACAAAAACACTTACAAATGGCGAGTGCTTCCCACACTGGCAAAGCAACTTTTCTTTTTCTTCTTATTAATACAGATTAGTGACACGGGTAATGGGTTTCACTGTGACAATTCCATACACGAACAGCATATATTTTGATCATCTCCCTCCTCACTGACCTCTTACCCTTTGCCCCATCTCTAACCACTTTCTCTTTCTCTAACAGACCTTTGAGAAGTGAACAGCTCATAAAGTTCATGTAGCTGAGTGGTCAGCATTTACCACAACACAAGAAAAAGCCTTCTAATGTCCAGATCCCCACTGTGCTGCAGATAAACAACATGAGGTTTATATACGGGGGAAGGGTCAGCAGTCTTGAGTGTCAAAGTGGAATGCTATCATTTCTGAAAAATATTATTAGTGAGTACTATGCAAATTGCAAATATTGTTAGTATTTGATCGATAACACATCTTTATTATTAAGTAAAAGAGAATATATTAAATTGTGCTCTCAAGTATATTTTCTTTGAGAACTAAAAGATTCAGAGAATTGGTGTGAATTTCAGAATTGGAACAGAATTCAGAGACCTCCGAATTCTACTTTTATGAGCGTACACGGAGTGGGGGTGGGCGTGGGTGTGAGAAGGAGGTGAAGAGGAACTAATGGTAGCACCCAGGATCGGAACTCAGCCCACATCCCTGTGTTCCCCATCACCTCCCATTTATTTTAAAAAATAATGTTGATTCATTTTTTATATAGGTATGAGTGCTCTGTCTGAATATATGTATATACACCACGTGCATGCCTAGTGTCTACATAGGACAGAAGAGGATATCAGATGTCCATGGTTGCCCATTGCCATGTAGTGCTGGGAACTGAACCTGGGTCCTCTGCAAGAGCAGCTTGTATTCTTAACCACTGAGCCATCTCTCCAGCCCTGTCATCTACTATGTCTGAAGAATCACTGTTCATCTATCTTTTGTAGCAGAGTAAACTGTCCCAATATGGTACTTAATTTATAGCCATCAAGAACATAAGACTATGGATTTACGAAGCTGATAATGAAAATAAAAATGACTTTTACCACCCGTTGTCTTTTTTTGTTTCCTCCCTGTGAACTGCCTTGGCTCTTTCCAAGGAGGACTCGCTGTCTCCTGTTCTGTGGCTGCTGGATTTATGGGATGGCTACCTCATTCATCCCTCTTACCAGCTTGAAGGTTACCGGGTGGTGGGGTGTTAATATCCCGAAAGATTTAAGTATGCAAGGCTGTGGAATCTGCCCTGCCCTTACCGGTGTTCAATCTGTCCTGACCAGTGACTTCATTCCTCTGTCACAGAGGCTATAGTGATTACGCTGGGTAATGAATGAAAGAACGCAAAAGCCTTCACACACTCAAAAGAAGTTAACTGTGACAGCACATACATGCTGTGTAGCAATCGCCTCTGAATGACACATTCCTTCCAGGAAGTGTGTGTGTGTGTGTGTGTGTGTGTGTGTGTGTGTGTGTGTGTGTGTGTATGTGTGTGGGGGGTGTCCTCAGGAGACTCAGGAGTAAACAAGCCTTACAATTTCCTCAAAGCCGAACTGTATTTATTCATGAGGATTCATTCACAAGGCCTTCCTGAAGGCCACAGAAGCAGCAGACAACTGCCTAGGGCGGCACCAGTCAGCCCAGCTGCCTGCAGGAGATATTCTCAGCCTGGAGCTGTCCATACCTTGTGGAGGGAGCTCCAGGCTTGTAGACTTTATGAGCTGTTAGCCAGCTTATGGACCGAGTTGCCCACACTCCTGTATGCAACCTTTCCCCATATGCCTCTAAGTAACCCAATGAAGTCATTGGTTTGCCAAGCTGAGCCTTGGTTTTGTTTCTTTGGTTTGTTGTGGGTTCCCTAACTGGGGTGAGTAGATGTTTATTTGTGTCTCTGCAGGAAAAGTCACACAAGAGCATACAAGAGATATCTGCTACTTGTGACAGATAGTATGGTTACATCCTGATTTTTGCCCATGTTTACTTCATAGACAATGAAAAAAATAGTTTGTTTGGAGATAAGTGCTGTGTTGTAGTCACTGGTGACAACCATCGCAATTTCTAGGGTTCAGTCTGGGACACTGGCAGAGGGAATTAATTGGGTGCATTTTTCTAACAAGCTACACATTCAGCATTCTGTTAGCATTCTACTTAGGAAACAATGCTTTGTTTACAAAAATCTGATGTGGGTTCAAATGCATCCCAAAGTACTGAAAGTTCCTCCTAACTACATAATACTTTTTATGGACTTTGGGTTTTAAGTGTTGAATTGATTTTCCACAGAAGAAAAAAGGGTAAAATGTATGATATATGCTTTTCTACACATAAAATTCATTTCAAATATCAAAACCAAAACCAAAACCAAACAAACAAAGCCAAGATCTACTGAGCATCTATGACAGTCCAGGCACATTAGAGAACTTCATCTAGTCCTTTCTACAAGCCCACTAGGTGGGCAGTACTGTTAGTCTCCTTACAGATACACAACACTACATCTTAGTGAAGGCTAATAGGCTTGCAGGAGGAGGAGGAGGAACTAGACCAAACCCAGAGTCTCTCAGAGTCCAGATGCCTCTGCCAGCCTGTCTCTCTCCAGACAAAGTTCTCAGGGCAAGTCTCAGGTTGTGACTACAGAACATTCTTTAAACACAAAAGCATGTAGAGCTGAAATAAAATGTGCTATTTTAGAAATGGAAATAAATACTTACATAGAAGCGTGATACAGTTTTCCCACCCACAGTTAGGGCTGCTGTTTTTCCATTATAGTTTTCTTTGGGAGTGTATTTTACCACATGACAATCTTGTACCTGGGAGAAAAAAAAAAAAAAAAAAAAAAAAAAAGCACACAAAACTTAAGCTTGTACTGTGATCCACCAGCTACAACGAGGGCCTAGGACAATTAGGATTTCAGAGTTACTTAACTCATTATCCAGCCAGCAACAAGATCACAGTTACAACCAGGAACTGAAAGAACTGGATGTTAAGTGATAGGCTTGATTCTTTTCTAAGAATGAACTAAGTGGCAGATCTACGTTAACCCTCCCTGCCAGGGCATTGCTCTAGGTTTCCTAATTCCACTATGGAAAGACTGGTTGAGGCCAGACTCCACTTTCCCAGACCTATCAGAAGCAAAGTTCTTTGCTATGATCTGTCACGTTTTCCTTTACCACAGTTTTCTGTTTGAGATACACATTTCAACCATTACAGCTTATGTACACAGATATTGGCACGCACATAGATGTTCTTATATTTCTATGTTTTCTTACCTGAAGTAATGTGACTGCATGCTTTTGACCATCTTTGGTCCATAAAGGCATCATGCCGAGCTTGAGGGCGATAAGACCGACTCTGGAAGAACCTGGCGATAAATACAATATATTTAAGACTATTTACAGATGTAAGTATCTTCAACTATATCAGGCATAATATACTGGTGGTTAACAAATGTTTATAAAATGAACAAATATAAAATAATTCTAATATTCAGTTTTAAGATAATAGTATTAATACAGAGCATATAAATCCATCATTACTTTTTCCTAGTTTCAGATCCTGTCCAGCATTATCAATCAGAAAATACCTATTCAAATTCTAAGGTATTAGATGGTGTTAGATGGTATTATACTATACAGATGCCATAGGCGCTCCTATTAAAATGTACTCTATTAAGAACTTTTGGGGCTGGGAATGTAGCTCAGGTGGCAGAGCCCTGAATATGAGCTCATGAACTACATAAGGCAAGCCTGAGAGTATATGCTTATAACCCAGCACTCAGGAGGTAGAGGCTGGAAAATCAGGAGTTCAAGGCCTCCCTTGACTACAGTGAGAGCTCAAGCCAGGCTAGACTTGAACTTTTGTCACTAAACAATATAAATGCCTCAGTAATTTCAGAGACCACATGTTCAATAGGCAAGGCCTCATCCTGCTTGGTCTGGTCACACACGGGTTTAGTTTCACACCAGAGACAGAGCTGATTGTGGAACTATGCTTCCCAAACGAGTACACAGCATTCCAATTAAAAACAGGTGTGTTAACTCAGGCCATTGCACACTGGATTTTTCCAGCCTCTTCTCCCTGGCTTTCCCCTTTCATTTTACATTCTTTATACCTGAAGGGAGGAAGATCATATATCCAGAACGATTTTCCTCTCACCCAAAACACCTTCCTGAGGAGGTCTTTTACTAGCAGCATATGAGAAGTTTGGAAATAAGCTGGCAAACCAAAGCAGAACGAAACAGACACACTCAAGAAATGAAAATTCAAGATTTCAAATTTGTAAAGCAGTCAACATTTTTATGCATCCAGCCATACTGTAATTAAAGGGTCATGTCTCGACTCCCCCCAAATCACCTGGTTCCCAAGGATGTAAAGGCCACGGTTCATCTTTCAGGGGATTCAGTTTACTTGCTAATTGGGCTTTATTTTCATCAAAGACCAATTGCTTCACAAATGAGGCATTTTCTTCAGAAAGATGCTCATCCCACCAAGTACTGCTCTTGCTTTGGAGATTTCTAACAAAGAACCAGGTGTTCGTTCTGAAAACAAAAACAAAAACACCACCAAATCATTATTTCCATTTAATGCAGGGGAAGCCAGTGTTAGGTAATGTCCTAAAGGCCTCAGGGAATGGTGTGGGTTGTGTATTTACCCTAACATTTCTTATGATAACATTGGGGCTTCCACTTTAATCAAGAAAGGTTAGTCTGAAGGCTTTTGGTACTTGATGAACAAGCCTACCTAAACACACGAGGGGCTACTAACCCAAAAGAATGTGTATTTGACCGTTTTATATCCAATGAAGGTGGCAGCATGTGGCAAGCTGAATTTTCTCTTAAGTGTACCTCCTCCCTGTAATGACATGGCCTATGCTAACAAACCAAATATACGGAGTTTTAAAAACAAAACTAAAACCCACAAAATGCACAACCTATGACCAGCTGAGCACCAAGCACCAAGAAGGATCTTAGCAGGTTTGAGGCAAAGCACAAGGCGTGTGTAATTCTTTCACGAAGTGGGCCAGAACCTAAATCAACCTTTGTGCAGTCTACTTTGGTTGCTAGTCAGGAAGTTCCAGCTTAGAATCGCGAGTGATTTTCTACTTATTAGCTGAGTAACTTTGGACAACCTATTTCCCTTTAGTTTCAGTTTTATCTGAAAAACTTTATGATTGTGGTCTGCTAACAGGGGGCTGGCTACAGGACACACGCCTAATAGGACACTTAACACAAACACGTCTAGTACAGTACACGCTGGTAGGAAGATATTGCTGCTGATCATAGTCGCAGCTAACAGCTAATTTCTTAAACATTAAAACACTACCCCTTCGAGCCTTTAGATTAAAACATGCTTTCTTAATCTGTGTCACACCCCTGGACATTTGACACTTTCCACTTCTAACAGACCGTCTGCGCCGGGCCAAGCCTCTGTTCAAGGACACAGCTGTGTGGGCTGCGCACCCCTCCACCCTCTCTCTTGCCCGTACCCACCTACTCCCTAAGCCCGGGGCAGCACCTAGGCCTCTGGCGCCACAGCCCAGCACCTGGGCGCCGGCCGGCGTCAGCAGCCTCCAGGCCGGCATGGAGTGGCCGGGCAGGGCTCGGCTCGCGACACCTGCGGGCGCGCCGCCGCGGAGCTTTCAGCGAGTCCCCGACGCAAGCACCACGCGTTCGAAGCAGCCACGGGACAGCAGTCACACTACTAGACCGCGGAGGAAGAGAACAGCCGAGCCACTTCCGGTCCTTTTCTAAATGCGCTCCGGGCAGAGACTCAATACTCTTAACTATGGTTCCGTCTCCAAATAGCCCTCTTTTGCCAAGGGATACGGTGTAGACTTCTCTTTAGCGGTGGGCAAGAAAGTATTTGGGTTTTAAACTTTAGAAGAACAAGGCAAGAAAGGATCAAACTTTCTTAGGAAGCTAAGGAAAAAGAAGTCACCTCCAAAAATTCCCACTGTGGGACAACTCGCCGTGCTAAGCAACACTTCGGCCATTTTATATTGGTTAATCCTAAGAACAGCCCTGAAGAGAAGTTATTTCTTTATTATAAACGAGGGAACACAGACTTAAAATTTATGTACACCCCAAAAACAGATGGGCAGAGAAAACACTGAAATAAGGCTGGCGTGTGTTTAACAATAGAATGGGACCAAAACCAATAGAACAGCATGCAACTTTCAGGGCTGGGCATAAATAGTACCAGGCAGTTCTTCAACTCGTGAAAGATCTTGAACTTGAATCATCCAGAGAAGAGGTTCGTGAATTTGAGATCAGGTGCGATTGCAGTAGAAAATGGTATTATCACAAAGTTTCAGAGTGATTGTGATGCAGCTACTGACCGCAACTGTGTCTTCTACGCCCCAGGTCCGGCCCACCATGTATGCCCTGGAGATTCATTTCCCTACTTAAAGTCCCTTTCTTGGACAGATGAGTGTTTTTGGAAAGGCAGAAATACCAGTTTTGCCTTTTCAGCCCCTCTCTTCCCCTTCCCTCCTCTCCCCCCACCCTTTTTTTTTTAAAAAAAAAGATCTGGGTAGCCTTAGAAGGCCCAGGGGAGAACCTGGCCACTGCTTGGACTTTGTATCTTTCCTTGTTCTTACATCTCACTAAGCACTGTTGTGGGTACCTCGGCCACATCTCAGTAATATGTTAAGCCATAGGGAAAAGAGTGCATCACTTCATCATAGCTACTTGGCTTCACAGATACTTAAGATAGGCACTTTCATTGAGTCTTGACATACACTATATGTGAGAGTAAAAAAAAATCCCCTACTATCACCAATATCTAGTATTTTGCATGTCTATAGTGTACAACAGTATGTGCTCAGTATTGTATCTGTCCATTAGTCAATGATAACCAGGAGGACAATGAACCCTTAGGAAGTTAAGTTTAATTAGCTTAATGCAACAAGAAGGATCACATGTCTGGGAATGTCATTGTAGGAATGAGTCAGGAGAGGATTAATACAAACTTTAGGTTTACACTAGGTGTTTTTAAGGTACTATCAAGGAAATAAACTTATTTTCAAATGGATGCTATGAAGAGTTAAAGACAGTTCAGCAATTAGGCTTCTTAATCTTTATTCTGGAGACAGGAAAACCAAATTGGGCATGGAGAATGATTGACAATGTCATGAATTTGCGCGTGAATGGCACGAGGATGGAGGGGGTGAGGTGGGGGTGTTCTGCGCATGCAGAGAAACGTGTTGACATGCTGGGCAGATGCATGCCATGCAGCAGCAGCAGCAGCCAGCAGCTCACAACCCAGATGCTGCATCCATGTGGAGAGTTTATTATAAAAGAGAGATGAAGATAAAGATAGGAAAGAGAGAGAGAGAGAAGTCGAGGGTGCGCACCTCGTGTGTGGGAGGAGGGGGGAGGGAGGAAGGGGAGGAGTTTTTCCTTTTATGTCAGGTGAGGTGCCAAGGGGTGGGAATTCAAAGGGGCGGGTCAGAATATTAACAGACAATACTGTTAATCATTTTGTTAGCAGCCTTTAGAAATACCATGTTGATGTTCTGTTGTAAACATAAAAAATGGATGGTAAAAGGATTCGTTTTCGTTCTCTCAGTATATTTTTCTCACTTAATCTTTCTAATAACCTCATGTGGTGATACTATCATTATCCCAACTGTAGGCAAAGGGAAACGATGACTTAAATAATGTTACCCAGTTAGTAAGTGGTAAAGCCAAGGTCTAAATTGTGGTAATGTCACCATAGAGATGTTTTCCTAGACATTTTATCTGTTTCTCTGTAGCATCTGTGTTGCTCTCCTTGCCTTAGAACCCCTCTAAGGGTAGAGAGGAAAATGAATAAGCATATCACATGCAATGGACCAGGATAAGGGAGAATTCACATTAACCTTTGTTTCCAGTGCCAAGTTTTACCATTCAGAATGAGGACGGTGTGTCGATGAAACTGATGATAGGCACCGCTGCTGAAGTGAATCAAAGCAAAATCGTAATTTACTGTCCCAATTGACACCTGGAGCTAGGAGTTGTCATTATTCTTGATTTAGTCACTGCCGTGTGCTTCTAAGTGACAGTTGCAGGTCCCGAGAGACCCAGCACAGGCTTCCTTAGGGAATGCAGGCATTGATTTCAAGCTTCCCGTGTGGTGATATGCCTAAGAAACTGCCTAAATGCCAGGATCCCAGGCCACTTTGCCTCAGTAAGACTTCATTTTCTCACTGGAGCAGAGAAGACCTGCCCAGTCTCTTTTTATTATGACAGTTCTGAGGTTCTTACCTCACTAACTTAGACCAGGGCTGATGAAAAGAAGCTTTGTGCTTATTAAAGTAAGAATTAATACATTTCTAATTCTGAATTACTACATCCATGCCCAGAAATGAGAACCACCATAGTAGTTTCAAAGCAAAGCTTCATTAGATATACTGAAAACCTACCATTTGGTTTTGCCATGAAGTCTTAACAATATTTGTGATGTGTTCTGTGTGGTTGGCTTATTGCAGAATAATAACAATTTCATTATCAGGCAATTATATTTTAGTGGCCATATATGCATTATTTAACAATATACCTTATACTTGAAACTGAAAACCTGTAATAAATTAGTTTAGCATCTTTTTTTTTTTTGTTTGTTTGTTTTCAAGACAGGGTTTCTCTGTGTAGCTTTGTGCCTTTCCAGGAACTCGCTTTGTAGACCAGGCTGGCCTCGAACTCACAGAGATCCGCCTGCCTCTGCCTCCCGAATGCTAGGATCAAAGGCGTGTGCCACCACCGCCCGGCTTAGTTTAGCCTTTTAATTAAACTATCCTAGACCATGTTCTATTTTTCCTAAGTTGTAGAGAATTAGAATATTTACAAATTGTTACAGCTGTGATGAAGATGGGTCATAGCTCTGGTAGTGGAGTAGACAAAATGCACTTAAAGAAATTTTGGACTTGGGGATTCCATTGCTGGCTGGAATCAAAAGCCTACCTAAGAAGCCATAGTGTAAAATCCCCAGATGCTCATTCACCAAGAAAAGGAACTTCAGTGCTCTCCAGCAAGATCATGTCACTTTTGCAACTTCACCAGCACACTTTCAGGATACACTCGTTATTTCTACTGGATCAGGCCGTAGACTTTAGGGTTTCAAGAAACTATCAAATGCAACTATATTTGATTTGGAGAAATAAAAAGGAGGAAGTGAAGAAGGGGGGCAAGTAAGAGGAAATGGAACGGAAGTGGAACAGGAGGAGGAAGACACAAAAGGTGAGGGTGAGGAGGAGGAAGGAAGGAAGAATAAATGCAGCAACAACTTGAGGAAGCCATCCCCAGTGTGGCTCTAAAAAACATGTTATACACGTTCTTAAAGTTTTCCAGAATCTTGTCCCCTTCTGTTGTTTTTAGTGTGGTTGTGAGATTCAATGTAATTATGCCAATGTGCATTTCTTTAAAATTTTTTATTGTTATAAAAATGTTAGCAACAGAAAACAGAACACCACATACCAGGGGACCACATGCCTTCAGTTGAGGCCACCTGGCTTGTCTCCCTCCTGATGCCAGGCCATTATCACAGTGATCACCACTTATATTTGTAATTGCATGGTACCCCAAGAATAGGTAACTTTCCCACTTAACTAAACAATGATTGCAGCTTTGCCACTTAGCTTCTGCTCTGAAACATTGGGATAAAAATAATCGGTACTAGAGGAGCTCGTAGCAGGGAAGATAGAGGAAGCAAACAGACAAAAAAGTACATGTCCGAGTAGAGATGTACAAACTTCTTGAAAAGGATTCTCATAGAGGAGGTAATGTGAATTATTCCTTAGGGGAAGAGGAAGGTTGCCTAGGAGTAGAGAAAGGACATTATAAGTAAAAGCAATACAATTCCTACAAAACAATAAACCAACCAGAGCCTTTGGGCACAGAACAACCACTGCTATATTATCTGAATGATTATCTTTGCCAGGATTTTAGAAAGGACATAGTAAGGATAGCTTGTTTCTTCTGTACATGTGATAGATAATGGATCTATTTGCATTCTTCTACATGTAGATATCCAATTATGCCAGCACCATTTGTTGAAGATGCTTTCTTTTTTCCATTGTACAATTTTGGCTTCTTTGTCAAAAATCAGGTGTTTTAGGTGTGTGGATTAATGTCAGGGTCTTCAATATGATTCCATTGATCAATGTGTCTGTTTTTATGCCAATACCAAGCTGTTTTTGTTATTATAGCTCTATAGTAAAGCTTGAAGTCAGAGATGGTGATGCCTCTGGAAGTTCCTTTATTGTATAAGATTGTTTTGGCTATCCTGGAATTTTTTTCCATATGAAGATGAGTATTGTTCCTTCAAGGTCTGTGAAGGATTGCATTGGGATTTTGATGGGGATTTCATTGAATCTGTAGATTGCTTTTGGTAAGATTGCCATTTTTACTGTGTTGACCCGACTGATCCACAAACATGGGAGATCTTTCCGTTTTCTGATATCTTCTTCAATTTCTTTCTTCAAAGACTTAAAGTTCTTGTCATATAGATCTTTCACTTGTTTGGTTAGAGTTACCCCAAGGTGTTTTATGTTATTTGTGGCTATTGTAAAAGATGTTTCTCTGATTTCTTTCTCAGCTCATTTATCATTTGTATATAGAAGGGCTACTGATTTTTTTTTTCTCTTTCGAGACAGGGTTTCTCTGTGTAGCTTTGCACCTTTCCTGGATCTTTCTCTGCAGACCAGGCTGGCCTCAAACTCACAAAGATCCGCCTGCCTCTGCCTCCC